CGGGGATATCGGTGGATGTATCGCACGGCGAGGCCTGCTATCGACATGTCGACGATGCCAGGCCGGGGCTGTATATTCCACGATATAGGAAACTATCCTAGCCGCGATCATGATACGCGAAAATACCATCTGTCATTCGGGGGTGCGTGCCAGACCTCGTTCCAGCGGCCGACCACCACCCACCTCTCTCTTTCCACCACGATTTTCCAACCCCTCCCCTTCGTTCTGTTGAAGGTTTCCTTCTTTTCTTTTTTACTCTCCTTTTCTTCGTTATTCTTAGCGGCTTTCTCTTCGGATAGATAAAGACGACACACAGCGGAGGAAATCTTTCACGAGATTGCACAATATTTCCTTTTTTGTTTTTTTTTTTTGTTTTTTCTTCTTTTTAGAATACGGTTTAAATCCTTGTTTCTCCGATTTACGTTTAAACATAGACTTTTGCAATCGATTGTGTTTGAACGAGAGTTTAAAAGTATCAACTATTTGTCTTGTTGCAAGTTCGTGTGAACGAAATTTTATTGTAATATTTTACTCTTACACGTGGCATCACGTGAAAAAGTTAAATTGCCTGTTCGTGCGTTTGATAAATCTTTAAATGTCGCTTTCAATTTAATTTTCAAACTTTTTGATTCGATGCCTACTTTCCTGCCATGGACCGACATTTCGTCGGTTATTCATACTTTTACTAAATTCAAGTATGGTGAACAAATTTTCAAATGAAAGAAGTGGAGAAATATTCTTTTTTTTTTTTTTTCACACAGAACCTAACCTGTGCCTAATCATATCACGATTTCAGCTGCACGTTGCACAAAGGTGCAAAGCTTGCGAGTTTGTTTAGCAGATTGGTTCGACCTCGGTGTAAAGTTCACCGGTACTGAAACGGCCGAAAATGTTTCCTTAAATAACGCGACCCAGTTTAATCCACCGTTCCGTCGAACAATTCTGCATCTCGAAACAATCGGCGCAAACGACGCGTACGAGGCACAGGCGTGCATTGAAGCTAGTTGCCAGCGACGCTGGCCGCTGCTCCCGTGAATAATTGTGTCCCCGGTAGTTGAATTCATTTTCCAATTAAGAGGCCTACGATTTGCATCCGACTCTGGCCGAATCGATCGATCGTCGCCATTAAATTCGGGTCGTCAACGATCGCGACAGCGGTGAAACGTGGTTAAGCGTGGCTAACGATAGCCCGACTCGTCGTCGTCTCAACGATGCGTCGAACAATGTGTACTTATCGCAGCGCCGAGCATTCCCTTGAAATCGAACCACCATTTTTCTTTTTTTTCTTCTTTTCTCTTCTTTTCACGATTGTACATCGCGCCATTCTTCCATTCTTCGTCCGCCGTGAAATCCTATCAGTCGCCTTTAAAAGCTAGCGAGCCTCGCGTTGATACCTCGCCGGTTCCGCGCCGTTGTTAAAAAACTTGTCCTCCGCGTGGAGAACGCTCGCTCTTTCGACGTTACCGATTCTACGAGATCGGCAGACTGTTCTCGAGTCTCTCTCTGATTTTGGGAGCGATTCGAATTACGCGTATTAATCGATGGGTTGACAAACTCTTGATTTAAATCACGAATCTTTCGTACGCGTTGATTCGCGGCAATATTTGTTACACTTTTTTTGGTGTGATTTTTGGAAAGGAGTGAGTTATTGGCAAATATAATGTAAACTGTGCCTGACCATACACGTGGACGTACTACTTGAAAGTGAAGTAGTATTCAATCTTTTAGAGCAACGTAATACCAAACGCGAATTTATATTGACACTTTTTATGCACTTTATGTATAATAATCTTTCGTACATTAATGGGCAAACATAATACGGAATATATCTGACCATATTTATGTACGTACTTTGATAGCAAAGTGGGACAATTTTTTGGGATCAATGATTCTATAATAATAACGCATCCAGGATTTACAGAAACATTGATGAGACTTTTGCAAAGTTAATGTACCTTTTGGTACCTATTTTAGAATCATTTTTTCGTAGATTAATAATAAATTAATAAACTTTATCCCGCGCGTAGTCAATCATTGCAAATATCTATTCTACTTGTTCCAAAGTATTAAATGAATGTGTTTAATAACGACGGATAAGAATTCACCTGTTTGCGAAAGAAGGGGATAGACACGCTGCATCCAATCAGAAACTAAAAGGTACATTGTCAATTATTTTTCAGTCTTCGTTAATAATTATTAGACTAAGCTACACCGTCACGGTGGTCACGTGCGCGCGTGTAACAGTACAATCCTTCGTTCCTCGGATACGTGTTTCAAAACCGTGATCTTCGAGTAACGTAGTGAGTGGTTAGAGAGAAGTGTGGGGTAGGGGGAGAGGAGTGAGAGAGTCGATCGGTAAAATTTCTCTCGATGCGTCTACGCGTCTGGTGCCGCGTAGTTGCGCCTCCGCGTTTTAACCCCCATTAGTGACCCAACCCTTCCCTCCTCCGCACCGAGTACTCCGTGTACGACTGAGAGAACGCCGGAACTCCGTTACACGGAACAACTTAATGTTATGTAAAAATAGCCGGGGGTTTCCCCGGACCTGGTGGCAGACGCACCACGCCAGGTTCTCTCGCCGGTGGTATATTAATGCAGGGGTCGAAAGAAGAAGCGAAAACGACGAGGAAAAGCGACGAGACGGCAGACGAGTGCCAGTCGAACCTCGGAGCAGATGCTCACCGGTTGGAATATCTAAATAAATCCGCGTGTCGGCCACCCTTAAAATCCTTGAGTCGAATAAGTAATAACGTTCGCCGTGCGGCAACCGGGTTAGATTCTCTCGCTCCCTTTTCCAACCGTTATTCCGCCTTGCCCTTGCCTGCATAAGCGAGCGCGTCCGATTTCGGGACTTTAATTGGCCCGGGGGAATTCCGCTGCGTGGACTTTACTTTACGAGGAAACTTTCGGGAGATATTTCGTGCCTCGTCCCGGAGACGGGTGGCTTTCTTTCTTTTTTATTTCTCTACCGCGCGCGAGAGAGAGAGAGAGAGAGAAGAGGTACGAGCAACCGCGATGAGATAGTACCGTTCTTTTTTTTTTTTTTTTTCTTCGTGGCGCGAGGTTTAATCAGTTTCGCCGACGGACTTGCGCTCGATCCGGCTGGATTACGGAATCGTTGAAACAGGTGAGACAAGTTTCGCTGTTTGTTTCGTTTCTTCCCCTCTTCTTTGAACTCTTGGAAGTTTGGGACGTATTTGGGAAGTAATATCGGGGAACGTTGCAATCGCTGCACGGTGTTTCTGATCCGTTGTCACGTTTCTTGCGAATCCTCTGGAATTCGAATCGAAATTCTCAGTTTCGATTCTCTGATCCTCGCCAAGATCTTCGTGCCGTCGCGGTTTTACTTTCGAGAAGATGTTTAATGTAAAATGGTGGCCGAGAGGCCACGCGTATTAATAATATACGTGAATAAAAAACAAGTCATTCTCGTAACTTACTTCGAACGTAATAACTTATTATAAGTTTCGAAACCAACAACTTATAATTAGTTGGAAAGGCAGGAGAATGAACAGTGAGGTAGTAAAAATTAATAAAGAAAAAGTTGGCAAAGCGTGGGAAGTTAATGAAGCATCGCCTTGATACAAATTTGTCGAAGAAGAGAGAGACGCAAATTCTGAGATGTTTGGGATTCTAAATAAAAAAAGATGAAGATCTAAATTTCATTCATTGAAACATTTCTTTTCCGTGAAAATTGCTCGAATCAACCGAGGGAAGGGAAGAGGATCGCTTTAAGTTGGAAACTATCCAAAGAAATTCCAAAGACTTCTTCATCTATTTATTTGCCCGTATAAAGACCTTATTACGTGCAGTAAAAATAAGAAAAAAAATAATTTAAATTCTGCTCGTTATAATTCTTCTTTCCGCAGCAGAGATGCTCGAATAAACGAAATCCGAAGATCGCTTTAAAGATCGATCGTTGCTCTTCCCGATTCTGGAATCGAGCTGTTGCCTGGTAAATTACATCTGTTCTTAGCGAGGAATTAGCCGATAGTCTAATCGCCGGCTTTGAGCAGTTTTCGTACATAGATTAGCGAGTACGTTGCACGCGTGTGCAAACATACGAGAGGCGGTGGAGTTGGTCGCAACGACAGGACGATTTACGAGGTTTCACAGGCTCGCCTGTCGGCCAGATAGAGCGAATGTGTCAATTACGATAAAGCTCATCGGCGATCGATGTATCTGATGAAATTATTTAGACGCCCGCTGTCAAGCAACGACGCGAACCTATCCCCCTCCGGTTCACCGCGATATTACGCGAGCCGAGTTCCACTATTGTATCGCAAATACAATTACTCTACCTATAAATGTTCCTGTTCTGTTGCACTCTAGTTACTGCTTTATTTATGCATCTCGAAAGTCTGAAACGTGAAAAATTTCCCATATATTTATAAAGTGGAATGATTTTAGATATTTCACGATACTAATGGAAAATTATACATTCTGAAATTTCATTGTGATTATATTGGGAAATTCGAAACGAATTGGAAAATGTACGATCTGTTCAAATATTTAGAATATTTTAGGTACGTCAGAATGATAGATATGTTTCGATTGTATGTTAGAATATTTAAAATATTTCAGATACGTCGAAATATTTAGCAAGATCATGTTTAGCACCAATGATATTCGCATTATTTGCCGAAGTATTTACATTACAAAGTATTTGTATTACGAAGTATTTTTTTTTTATATTTTACATTTCCAGAATGGTCAAATTTCACATTGTATTCATAACAATTTTCCATGTGGTAAAGGTCCAAATATTTCTACGAGTCACTCTGAATCATACATACTTTACAATAAAAATGTATACAGTATCTATTTAAGATACCAATCGTGGCGAACTATAAATTTATATTAGTGAATCTCAAACAGATATCCTTATTCCTCTCCGCTTGAACAATATAGCACAAAGAAATTCGTCAAACACGATATCATTAATAAAATTTATTCTAAATATAATATCATACAGGTATAAAATTAGATACTACGTTGTCAAAGTTACAGACTTAACGTAACATTCCATCCATTATCATCCTCTTACCGTCGATAAAACAAAATCAGACATATCTAACTTTCAACTTATCTCCGAAATTTATCAAGATATCACGCGAAAGATATCAGAAATTCTCTGTATAGTCGCACTCCGTCTTGCACAGCTATCGTCTCCGTTGTTTGTTCTTAAACATAGAGTTCGTCTTTAACGCGTGTCTCTTTAACGTTTCACTTTATCTTGCAATTTATCGCGGGTAGTTCGTTCTTGGTGAACTTGTCAACTTCTTCGCCTCGTTCTCGTAACTTTCTCCTCCACGTTCACTCTTTGCCTCTCGCTTTTCGCCTCACTCATTATCCGCATAAACATTGATCTTCTCCTCGAGCATTCTCAGCTTGTCCTCGTCCGATAAATTACACCCGCCGCCGTTTGGATTATCCGTCGTGTAATTTTTAACGCCGGAATTCCTGCCGTTCGTGTCATTCTTTTTCTTGTCGATCTCGGTCAGTTTTTCGAACAGCACCTTGTCTCTCGACGCTTTTCTCATGTCCTCGCCGAAGGCTACCTCTTCCAATTGTTGTTCGTTCTCCTTTATCCAAGCTTGCCGTTTGTTGAGCAATAATATTTCGTCCTCCAGTCGATTTTCCCCTGTTATCGGTTCTTCCTCGTCGATCGAGTCTGTTGAAGTGCGATAAATCACAGTTGAAATAATCGAAGTAACTAAGGATTATTATTTCGATTAATTCTGTTGTTGCAGCCGAAAGGAAACGAAGTTTTCAGAACATTTAACAACCTCTTTCGCTGGAATGATGTACCACGCACGTCGAGAATTTTTTGTTCCAAAATTATAATGTTTCCTCAGTTTTAAGTATATTCAAGTACAACCCAGGAAAAACAAATAATACAGTTATTACTTCTTCCAGTAATTTCTATCCAGTGATATCATGCCGACGAGTTTAAAAAGAAAGCGACGAATTACGAGTAATACGGTTCGGTCACTCGTTATGGTCCGCAATCAGTTGCCAGCGCAAGTGGTCAACAACTCCACTGTTTGGCAATTCTTTCATTACGTCTGTCGATGAACGTAAATTGCCCGAAATCGTAGAAAATGGCGTAATTTCAGAAGATTACCTTTGTTCTCTTCGTTGAAATTATTTTGTTCTTTAGACTGGACGCTAGCAAGTGACTTGGACGCATCTCCTTGAATCCTCGCACCTTCCTTCTGATCGATCATATTATCCTCTTTCAGATTGTTGCTCGTCTTCTTCCAGGATCCAGCACTGTGCTTGTGTAAAAATATGATCATAAAAATATGACGAACGTCGTTTAATCTTCCACTGATCGTTAGACTGTAGATGATCGTGCATTTGTAAAGAAACCACGCATTTACAAAATGATACATGCACAGTATCGTATGAACCAGGAACGTAACAACGTAATAATCCTGTTCTTTGTTGATCAAATCGCGAATGAAATGATTTCTACGATTGCGCCACGTGACGTCACGTTGCGTTACTGTCGTCTCAAGTTTCCAATCTTTGTTCTTCATAAATAACAGTTACCTTCAGAAAATCACGAACAACCGTTTTGTCTATCGATCTTAGCTTTATCACTGTAACACATACTTTTTGCCTCCCGCGTCTTTCAGCTTCTTCTCCTCTTTCTTAATCTCGGTCTCGCCGTTAGCATTCGACTCGACGCTCATGTTCATCGAATGGTAAATTAAAGGCTCCTCGTATCCCGAATCGAGAGAATCCCAAAAGGCTTTGTCCAGGTATTCGCGTTTCTCGCGAGTTGCCGGCCGTTCGCTGTCCTCGCGTCGCGACTGATCAATGGCACTCGCGCCTTTGTGACGCTCGCCGTGCTTCTTTCCGCGCTTCTTACGCTTCCTTCGAGTCTTATTATACTTCGCACGCTTGTCCACGCTTCTTGTTACCCTCTCCCGTCCTCGGCGAGGTACGCCAATGCCGTCTGAAACGCATAAAAGGATCTTTAAATTCAGTAAATGGCGAATCGGCGACCGAGTCCTCGAGACTGACAACTAGGATTCAAAGTTACTGCGGTAGGTTTACTTTCTTGAAAAAGTTGCTCGTTCAGGAGGTTCGGCAGCGCGTTCATTAAAGGCGAAAAACTATCCGGCTCGGTCGAGTAGCTCGCGTTACTCGCGTTGCTCATTCCTATTTGATACTGAAGAGTGCCCCTGCTTTTCTTCTCGGCTTCCTTTCTCGCTTCGATGTACACCAGCAGCAAATCCAGTTGCTTCGACTGAGAGAACGAGGGAAAAGATACAGAACTGTGATCGTGAGAAAATCTCTAGTAGGATAAACGACAAATTGTAGATTCAACACCAACTAGAACTATCAAAAATGACCCATTTTTTTTTTCATTTTTGTAGGCGCAAAATAGCGTGTTTTTAACGATTTAAATAATTTTTCGTAGAATGTATAAACAAAAGCTTGTGCACTCTCCATTGTATTAAGTTTCTTTGTTTTTTCTAGACTTCTGGAAATGTTATGCTTTAATCGTCGGTAGTTCTAGCGTCAATAGTGGTAGCTGAATTACCGACGACTGATTTATAAAATGACTGAAATAGAACCCCAGAAATTTTTTGTTTCATTTTGTAGTTTCGTATTCGTAGCGTAGAATTTTGATTCGTAGTTTTTTTTTTTTTTTTTATATGCAGTCTTCCTTCAGTCACTTTGCGTTATTAAATTCTACTAAGTTTATATTGTAGTTACGGTGAGGAATTTCGAGAATGCGTTCAATATTTTTTTCGTTACCGTGTCTTCCTTTATTTGGTCCACGATTTTATGAAATTTCAAGAATCCGAACTATTTTATAACGCTACATCTTTTCTAACATTCTCCTGTACTTCCTTTTATGCTTCTTTCTCTTGTGTTTTTACTTGTATTACTTGGATTATTTAACATTGCTCTCGTTTTTAACGAGTCGAAAGACTTTTAAATGAAAATATAGGAAATCGCAACGACGATTGGATCGCGAACGATTCAAAAAACGCAATACAGTTGAGAATCTAACCAGATACTCCTGAATTGATTCGATCTTCGCTTTGTCCTTGTCCGTTAGAGCACTGTATTCCTTTATCAGGCTTTTTATCAACTCGATCTTCGCGTACAGTTCATTAATCTCGGCCTCGACTCTGTCGTTTGGGAAACTTTGAAAGAGAAACTTGTCCCGGTGAAAATGGTCTTGATCTTCTTCGTGCATTAATGGCAACGCCGGCGGCTATAACAAAACATTCATTTAACACTAGAAAATTATGAAAATGGTTAACCAAATTATTACCAATTGATAATATTTGTTAGATTTACATTTTACAGCGTATTTTTAAATATTTATAATAATAATCTTTCGTAAAATATATAATACAAATAAAAGTTTGTAATCTCCCTATTTCTTTTTAACTTCAATGTTTCTAGATGGAAATTTTATGCTTTAATCGTCGTTCAGTTCTAGCGTCAACGCAAAATAACACGCAAAAATCACGAATAATTTCCACGGAGCGAATGATTTGTTACTTGTCCCAATGAAATCGCTTGCGTGTCCACTTGCAACATCCAGTTCAAGAACTCGATCAGATCCGATGGCAGGGAGATGCAGGTCTTTCTCTGCACCTCGTCGAAGATCAGCCGATTCAGAAGCAGCATTATTCTATTCAGCAACTCTTTCGTGTTCCTGATCTGTTCAAAGCGAAGCGTGTATACCGGAACGTTGGAAACGAGAGAAAATCATAAACCTACGTCGTCGTCGTTGAGCGTCTCGCGATAAGATTTCTCAGCTGCCGCGGTGTCTTTGGTTTTGTGTTTCTGGTAGAGACCCGGTCCTAACGACACCTTCAGCTCCTCGTTCTTCTCCACCTGATCGAAAATCTGTTGCACGATCTTGCCGGCGAGCTCGCCGTGAAGAGCAGAGTCCATCTGCGACTCGTCCTCCATGTCATCGGTTGTTATCAGAAGCGTAGTGAACTTCTCCCTCTGGCTGTCGTTGTCCGAGTTAGTCGTCTAAAATATTACCGACGTACCTTCGTAAAAATCGAATTGCACGTTACACGCCTTCCGGCACTTTCAAATTTTATTAAATCGCCGGGATTTACTCACGTCCTCTCCTTCCACGTCGTCGCGATCCACTTCTTCCTCGCTACGACTTGCCCCTTCGTTCTGCGTGGCTTTGCTCTTTTTAACGTTGCGACGACTCCCGCTCTTCGACGCGCTTTTCCCACGCTTGTGACTCCTCGAATCGTTCGAATGCTTCTTGCGATGCCTCCGTTTCTCGTGATTCTCACTCGATTTACCAACGCGCTCCTTTTTCTTCCTCTTCTTCGACGCTTTCTTGCGATGCTTCTTCCCGACGCGGGCAGGCACCTTCCTCTTTAAATCTACGTTCTCCTCGTAACCGTCGTCGTAATTGTCCTCCAAGTAATCGTGCCGTTCGTGATTTTCCTCGTTCAACAGCCGATTCTCCTCGTCCGCGTCTTCGTACGAGTTGAAAAACTGAAGTTCGTCGTCCACGTCGTCGTCCTCCGTCTCCTCGTAATCGCGATTGTATCGACCACCGTCCTCGTAATACGTGTCGTAAGGTGACGCAATTTCTCTTTTTGCCCTGCTGTCGCCACCGGACAGCGGAGTGTCCAACGACGAGCGGGAATATCTAACGAGAGCAGCCGAATCTTCAGTCTTTAAACTCGTCCCATTTTCCATTTCCCGTGCCCTATCGATGGTACCATTAACCAAACTTCTTTCGTATTTCGCGGTGGCGGATCCGGGACGAGGGACGAACGCGTCGGTATCGACGGTTTTCAAGCCTCTGGCCAGCCTGACTCTCGCGTCTTTGTCGAAATCGTCGAACCATTCAACCGGCTCGACAAAAGACTCGTGCAGGTCCCTCGAGCTAACGATCGTCTGTTTCTCGCGATCTATATTTTGGACGCGTTCCTGCGGCAACGCCGGATATTTACGATCCCGGTAAGGAGAACGCTGAGAATCTGTGTCAATATATTGCCCCCGGTCCGTTAATGACCAGCTCACGCCGTCTCTCCCTTTGGCCCCGTCGTTTCTCACCCCGCTCACCTGCGATTCAAGGTTTATAGAGCGAAAGAAAGTAAGTCGAGGCAATAATTTATTGGAAAAACGCCTGGGTTTTTATTCTATTCCGTTCTTCTTTCTCTCTTTCTTTTTATCTTTTTTTTTTCTCCTTTTTCTTTTTTTCCCCTCCCCCCTCCCCTTTTTCTTTACCTTTTGTGCTTGCCATTCACGGGCGGTCTCGATAGCGCGGGCAGGTCCTCGTAATTTCTCCCCGGTGCTGTTGCCTTGCTCCGGCCCGCCTTTAAACATATCGTCCGTGCTTTTAAGGGCGAAATAATTACTTTGGGAAACGTTGGCGCTCGCAGCAGTGGCGGGACCCTCGCGTTCGCCAGATGATACGCTCTGGTAAATTCTCTCGCCAATTTCGGATTTCCCCGATCCGGCGTGAACCAGCAAAAGTGGCAGTAAGTTGGGGCTGGAAGCTGAACGAAGCCGAAATTTCCTTAGTTGTTCCGATTGTTGCAATTTGATTCGACGGATGATCGGACTTTTTTAGAGAGAATGATTTTGAGAAAGTGGAAATTCATTCAGTTGGACGACTGAACTTTGAATTCTTTTCATACTTGATCACTCGTGCTTATTTCGTGGATGTTTTTGTTAGACGATGATAATATTTACCGGATGTTTCGGTCGGACCATCGTGAACTTGTGAAGGATCAGTTTGATTTTTTGACGGTTCGGTGGTGCACGGTTTGTCATTGGATTCGTGATACATTCTCTGATCTCCTTTAATTCGTGGTTTACTTTTTCCACTTTCGTCCTCGTTCCAATCGTATACCTTTTTCAACTCTTCGTACAGTGGTTTCACGCTGTCAGACACTTTTTCTTTTCTAGTCAACAGGTACATAAAATGCAATAAAGAATTCTGAATAAAGAAAAAAAATCAAAATCTGTGAATGAAAAATAGAACAGGATAATATTAAATATTTCCTAAAAAGATAAAATAGTATGTCGAGTTTTTATTACAAGTAGAATTATTACTGATATTATTGGTTAGTACTGGATTGTGCAAGTGAAATTTTAAAGAGACCGTAGTAAAATTTTTAAAACCAATTATCTTCGATACATCTTTCAACATTAAAATTTTTGAAAATAAAATTCAATAAAATAGAATAGCAAGGAAGTGATTTAACGGAGACCGTAATTATTTAAGCGGTATGAAAAAAAAAAAAAAAAAACAGAGGAAAGTGTTAAATATTAAACAGCAAAATTCGACTGGCATACTTTTCGTCCAGATATTGAATATCGTCAAAAAAGTCATGGATCACGTCTAAATTCCCCATCTTCAGAATATATTTCTCCGGATCTTGTATCACCTCATTCGTATCACTGTCTAAAAACTTGTCTTCGTTTCCCCCCACCGGTTCGTTCATCCTATTAAAACACTAGTATCATTATTTAAACGCTTTCTGGGTACAGTGTTACAATTTCTCACGTAGTAGGTCAGTGTCACATTTATTTCATAAGTTTTTTTTTACCATTTCATTTCGAGAATTCACGACTGACCTCTCGCGACTAACGTCTTCACCTTGATCCTGATCGTTGATTGCCGGAGGATCCTTCCTCCTCCGCGACTATCGTCGATCGCGTTGGCGACTTTGATATCCTAGTTGCGTTTCTTGTGTCCGCAGCCGGGCTAAGGAACTGTTGTTGCGGCTTTTTGAGTTGGAATTTTTCCTTCCTTTTGATTTCCTTCTGGATCGCCTCCTCTTGCTCGTCCTTTATTTTCTCCGTAGATTGTGGACACTTTTCGTTGCTTCCTGTTTCGGCTGCTGTTGGAAAGTACACGAGATTTTGCATGATTTACCGGAGATTACGATTGCAGTGGATGCGTGTTCCGACGAATGAAACGTTTTTGATTGAAAAATTGAAGCCAGTAGCTGAAATTTTAGTGATTCGAATGGCTATTGAAATTTTATCGACTATTTGAGGATTAACAAGTGGTCATACTAAAATTTTTAGAAGAAACGATTTCAGAGTGAAAAGTTAGATTTACTCCGAATTACTTTGCAAATAATTGACATTACGTTGTAGTTTATCGTTGCTTATAAACACTATTTTTTGCGCACAGGAAATAATTTCATATTCATCATATCTTTCTAACGATATATTCGTCAAAACGCGCAACCACTTCAATCGCTATCATCTAATCTAACGGCTGAATTCACGACTCGAATGAATTACGAAATCTTATTAAGGCGAAACTTTATTAAGTTGTTTCAATTTTTCGTAGTGCACGTGTGATTACCATGACCCGCGTACGAGTCGATAATGTTCTCATCTTGATAATAATTTTTCATTCGCTCCGGCTCGCTTGCCGGTGACAACTCGCGATCCTGTTGATCATCGTAGTCATAGTACTCGATCACACTTGGATTACGTCTTTCTCTCTCTGTAGGTTTCCTCCTCTTCTTCTTAAGTTTTTCCTTTATCAAAACGTTCACCTTTGCCATCTTTTTGTCGTTGTAGACGGATCGTTCTTTCCTTCGCGTTGGTGCGTTATTTTTTTCTGAAAATGAATTTCTTCTTTTGAATCGTTTCCTTTCAAATCGCGTTTGTATCAGGTCACTTTTGAGAAGATTAAAGAAGTGAAATTACAATGAAATACATTCATTGATATATAATTTATTTCAACGACTCGAAAATTGTGGCTCGCAAAGTTTCAATTATTATCGCAATTGTGCAAGAGACAAGCCTCGTAGTTTCTACTAGACAAACACTGGAAAGTTAGTTGACGAACGAGTTTACGATACTCGTTGTTTAAGACACGATAATTACGTGAAACCAATATTATGATACAAAAAATATTAATATTGGTCTATAATAAAATATTTTGTTTACTCTTAAATAAAACATTTCTCTAAAAAATAATTTTAATATATCACTAAAAGGTTGAAATAAACCTTTAAATAATAATTTATTAGGACCTTTCAGATTTTGTATATAACTCAAAATTTTTCGTTCAAATAAAGTTAAAAATGCAACTCTTAATATTACTATTAATATTAATATAATATAATTTACAATTAAAATTATTATTTATTATAATTTATATAATTTTATTTAAATTCTAAATTTAAAACACTAATATGTACTAGGCAACAACGTCTCAGTTGCCCAATTTAAAGTCAACCTGCCCCTAATTATTTTAATTAATAATCCATTCACGTACATCTTTCGTTCAACCTCCTACTCGTCCTACTCGTTTCTTATTTTCTAACCAGTCGCAATCAGAGATTTAGATTTTCAACCGCGAAAATTGCACGGCGCACAGAATTTTACCCGCGCTAGCTTCTCGTTGATTCTCCTCTTCTTCCTTGTCGCTGTAACTCGCATCAGCGTCTTCCACGTCGTCGTTGGAATACTCCATATACTGCAACATCTTCCTCTGACCGTATCTGTCATTCATCACCCTATCGTCCATCCCGTTAGTCATTATGAATATCTCCTTGTGCTTCTTATTTCTCTCTTCCTCGTTCTCCTCGTTCACCCCGTTCGGTTCCAGCCCCCAAACTCCGCTGTTAGGGAACCCCTTCTCTTTGTTATCGCTGAACCGTCCCTCCCCGCTCGTGAATTCAACCTTTCCACCTGGGTCATTACATTTCTCAGCCGCAGTTTGATCGACGTTCACAGCCATTCGATCGCGAGCCGCTGCACCGAGCCAGTTTCCTCCAGCTCGTTCCAACGCGCCGCTTTGTCCCGGTCCTTTGTCGACTCGCGCGGAGTTCTTAAGTCGTTTTTCATCCCCGTTCCTCACCCTCGTCACGCGGCTCGTAGCGGGCGTGTCTTCCTTAACTTTGCCCGTCCGGAAGTCGGGAACCTCGCCGCCGACAGGAACTTCTTGCTCGTCCTTCTCGCCGCTCCTCTCGCTCCTCTCGCCCCGTTCACACGCACCTTGGACAGGTGTGTTCACCCGCGCCTTCTCTAGCTTCACGTCGACGACCGTCGATACCGACGACCCACGTTTCTCCTCGTTCTCCACGATCATTTTCTTCCTCACGTCGAGCACGTTCAACGCGAACGGCGGTCGATCACCGTCCGTCCGCGAGTTGTCGCGTGCTTGGTTACTGAATTTCACCAGATTTTTGTTCTCCGACTTGAGCAGAATGTCGACGTTGCCCGAACCTTCTGATCTTTCGTTCCCCTCGCTGGCTTCTCCGATTTCTTCCTTCGAACGCATCCCCTGCCGAGGTTCGAACACTCGTTCCTTGTTCGAATCATCGATACTTTCTTGATTCGAGACAGCGATTTTTCGTGATTCTAAGGTTCCCAAAGAATTTCCCTCGAGGCCTTCGCTCTTTCCACCCTCCTCCGTCAACCGGTTCAGATTTCCCTGCGACAGGCTCGATCGTTCCCCATCTCCGACTGTTTCTGCATCCTTGTTCTCGTCTCTGGTCACTATCGAGACGTCCGGATTCACGGTGTCAGCTGGATCGTTCTTGAAGGTGTCTGTTCGTTGCACGTCGTCCACGTTGCCGAGACCCGGACGTACGTTTGACGTTTCCATCGAATTCTTCTCATCAGCCCTCTCAGAGTTATTTTCACCTTGAGCCTCGTTTAAACGACGTTTCTCATCCGTTTTCTCAGACGTTTCTTTGCTACGTCTTTTACGGTCACGAGGCACGTTTAGGGAGCTTTGTACAGGGTACAACGCCCCAAACCTCGCTCTACCAAAGAGTTTCGGGTTACCGTCATCGTCTTTATTAACTTCGGTCCTCTTCGTTCTCCACGCTTTCGGACGAGCATTCTTCTCGTCGGCATCCTCCGGCTTCTGTTCACGCTTTCGTAGATTCAGCTTCTCTTCCCGCCAGGCGGAGTTTGCTGAAAAGAGAGAACATTCGTTGCCGCGAATACGTTCCTGGCCAACGTTGCGTTTCCGCGGGCAGATTTCAGGCAGGCGTTCGCCAAATTGAAACAAGTTTTCAGGTACTTTCTACTTCGTCGTTCACGTCTTTTCGGTGCTTGTCTCTCGTCTCCTTCTCCTCCGCGCTTTTGGAATTTTCCCGCTGTTTCTTCTCGCTTTCGTTCAGGCTTTTCTTCAGTTCTAATATCGTTTCTTTCAGAGACTCCAGGGAGGGCTCGTTTCGCTGATTCCTCACGTCCGCTTTCGAGCTCGATTCCTCGTTCAAGTTCAAGGTGTCTGTTCAATTTCAAGTTCGACGAAAATTAGAGATTCTAAAAGAATTTCTAAACATCGTAGTTTTTTGAAAAAGAGATGTGTCTGAAAATGATTCGTGTGAACTTTCACTTTTGTATCATTGTTGGTTTTTCTTTTCAAAGTTTCAAAATTATAAAATAACATATTGAAATTAATATGACTGTGTCCGACGAATGTACTGAAATTGAGTCGTACTAAATCTACTTTTCTGATCAACTTCGTAATCGTGGATCCATCGATCCCCTGATTTATCCTGTTCGTCTCTGGGATTCATGTTCGAGTTCAGCCAATCGCTCAGAGAACAGAGATCATTCGGCTTGGACCAATCTTTCGGAATTTGATCGTCTGTCGTTTCTTTGTCGTACATAGGAAACAGATTAGCCACTTTCCTCCTTTTTCTGCAAAGAGTCATCGCAGAATCAATCACATTTGGAGTATTTTAACACTAGAACTACGAATTTACAAGTTTCATACGAAAGTAATAAGAAATGTAATATAAAAGGAATCTTTTTTTTTTTATTTCCTTCGTATAATTTTATTTAATAATTTATCTCTTTTATTAAATACAAAATGTCATAAACATTTTTGAACGTAATTTTTCTGATTCGAGTTTTGTGTAAGAGTAGGATTCTAAGGTTAAACAAGTAAAGTTCGATACCCTTTTCGATGCGCATCGAGATCGATGTCTCTCTTGAATAGCATATCGTTATCGAAACGCAGTCCTTGAGAAAGTTCTAACGGGTTTTCGTAGTTGTCGTCAGAGCCTCTCTTCTCGCGCAGCTTATTAGCATTTTGGTCGTTCCTTTGCAAATGTTTCACTCGTCACTCGCGAATTACCAAGTACGAATCTTTATCAATCAACTCACTTCTCGCGATTGACGCCTTGATTATGCACCCTTTGATCTATCCACCTTAAATCGTTTTGAGCCTTCAGAACGTCGTCCAAGAATTTATTCAGCTCCGGACTATTCTCGTTTGTGGATTTGATCGACTGTTTGTCCCGTTGATCTCTGCCAGATTTGATCTGCGAAATCAATCGATTGATCGTAATGTGCGACAACGTCCGTACGAGACGTGTATACTTATGCTTATTTTCAAAATTTCTCACGAAACGAAAAGACGCAAATGTACTAATTTCTTTCCTCTAATATCGGGAGCCTTGGCAAGTCTGAATAAATATTCTTGTAAATCGAAATAGCATTAGTACAACCAGGTTTCATAAAGATGAAGAAGGGAAATTGGCAAGAGGTGAAACACGCGTCACCGTGAAAATTGACCCAGTCTCTCCCCGAAGGATTAAACGCTCGAGTGAAATCGCGATCGAACGTTGCCTGGAAGTTCGAGGTCGCCGCGCTGCGACGAAACCGATAATGGGAACGCGTAATCCCGCCGGGAATGCAAATGAAAGGGAAGGATCTCCATAACGTTCAACAAGTGATCATAGGGAAGTGTCCTGTTTCATTTTAGTGGACCGCAACCGAGACTGATTAAAGACGGTAGCAAAGAAAAGAAAAGAAAGGAAAAGAAGAAAAAAGAAAAAGAAAAATAAGAAAGAAAAACAACGTCTCTGTGAAACGAGAACGACCTCCTCTGGAGAGAGATCCTCTGGCGGCAAACAGTCGCCCCAAAGAAGAAGAAGAAGAAGAAGAAAAAAGAATATAGAGCAAAGTATATTAAAACAGGACTTCATTAAGGTCCTGGAGGAGAGACAACAACCGGTAGTAACGAGAGAAAGGGTGAGGAGAGAGAGCATGGCGAGGAACGAAGAGTAGGAAAAAAGCGGACAGTGGTAGTTGAGCGTGGCAGCAGACGCCCCGAAAGCCCCGGCTCCTAGGGTGGTGAAAGAAAGACGGGGGCGAGTGTTTATTTAGTTAAATGCCGCGCGTAATTGGGTGCAAGATTTTTTTCTTTTTCTTCTTTTTCTTTTTTCGCTCGGTCGCGGAGGTGACACCGGCAGAGCCATACCGAAAAAGGGCCAACTGGTAGGTAGGACTATCTGGTAGGACAGCAGCACAGCCAAGGCTGACGGCGAAACCCCTGGCGTTTCGAGCTTTCCACCCCTTTTTCCGCGTGCTGGCAGCCACCTGATGGCTGGCTGGCTGGCTGGCTGGCTGGCTGGCTGGCTGGCTGGCTGGCACAAGGGCCCGCCGGGAATGAGATGCAGATTGCCAGAGGCCACTTCAGCCGCTAGAGGGAGTGAATTTTTAATAACACCGTGGCCGTATCCGCGGCCCCGCGCGCGCCTTCTCTCCACTACCGTAGGATCCCTCCATTGTCTTGGCCCGCACGGGTTGGTCTCGTACGCGCGGCAAAAAGAACGAGAGCGCGGACGATGCGTACGTCCGGGAAACCGCGTACCGCGCCCGGTATTATTACAGGGAAGTAGAGGATTGTCACCGACAAGACATGCCTCGTCCGCCGCCAGCCGCGAGAAAACCGCGCGGGCGAGACTCTCGTCCACGTTAAATGACGCTTAACTCCAAGGACGCTATCCCGAGGACGATGACGAGCGTCGAGGAAGCGTACGATTTCGTTTGGAATATCTCGAGACGAGTTGTAGAGTAAATTATATATTTGTGAAATTTTTTGTTGTTGTTGAATAATATATACGCTTGCGACGAAGGGAAGTTTGTCAGAATTGGAACAACCCTGTTGAAAATGGCGGCGTCCTCCTCGAGCGTTAAGTGTGTAATCTCATTCCGCGAACTTAGTTACGTCTTGTCTCGTACTTTCGAACTCTCTTCCGCTTCGCCGTTGTGTTTTTATAAATTAATCTGTCAACGGCAGCTGGTATAAATAACAGTAAGTTTCAAGACGAATAATTCCGCCATTTGCAAGCATTTTGGCCTGAGAAAAATGAAAGTATAAAGCCGGGGGTCACATTTATCGCTGTAAGAAGATTGACATTTCTCACCCGAAAATTCACAGACACGGTCCATTCATCCACTTCTTGTTCGTATTAAAATTTTCTTCCAATAAATAAAATTCTACTACATTCCAAGCCATCAAAGTATCACCATACTCCCTGAATGATAACGTCTCGCATTACATTCGAAGAGAAGTTCAGAGCCTGGACTTGGGATCAGAAACATAATTTCCAAAAAGTAATGAGTGCCGCGAGCGAATATCACAAATTCGAAACGAAAGTCCAGGTCTCTCAAGCGTGGACCATCCCTCCTCCACCCCACTGCCACAAAAGAAAGCACTAATCACTAGATCATCTCGATCGTTTACCGCGTTGGCGGTTCCTTTTCGTCAGTTCCTCTCCATCAATCGCGTTCCGTGGAGGAGGACGGTGGCAGAGGAGCCAAAAGTACGGCGAGCATAATCAATCACGAGACGTTTTCGGCCTGGATACGCGGGCTGGAGGGGCGTGTAGACAGTTCGCATAGTTCCGAAACGGAAACGGTAATATCGCTGGCCCGGGGCGACCACCCCTTTGTCATTTTGTCATCCGGCGTAAGGACGAATCGGCCATAGAGCGGATAGAGAGGGAGAGAGGAAAGCAGAGGCAGAGACAGAGCAAAGGTGCGGGCGCGAAGACAAAGCGAGACGCGGCCAGTATGTTTCCTCGCAAAAAGAAATTAATGCTTGAGATATTAAAACGCGTCCGAAAGGAAAATGCCTGTCGGCCATCGAGTTTGCCACATCGAGCACGCCTTTCCGTTTTATCGGGAAGAGGCTGCCCCGGTCTTTTCTGGCTATTCGTCCAGTGGACACGACGCGGTTTTCGTTTGCCCTTTTAAGAGTCTATCTACGTTGCTTCCATCCGAGGAAAGAAAGAAACCACTGAGATCTTTTCGTGCGAGTGATAATGTTTTGCCTGTTAATATTGATGAAATTACCTTCGAGAGTTCCGAATTTCTGTCTTCGGACTTTTTCACATAAGCGTTAGCGTGGTCGGTTTTCTGAGCGTTAGTATTCGACACGAGGATTGGGAAGATGATGACCAAGATGAGGGAAAGTAGGAACGATGGTCGATGACGATCTATCGGACAAATCGTGGACACGGCCATTTTCATAGCTCTATCTGAAAATGAAACGGTAGAATTTCGTTTCGTAGGAATAAATTATCGACGATTTGATATCGCAACAGAAAGTATTTATTTCTCGTTTATTTCTCACTTTTCTTAAAAATTAAAATAAGCTTCGTTCGAATTTAGATTATACACTTTACGTCTCGTACTATCTCTACATTCTGTCACGGTGGCTTGTGAAATTATTCGAAGTGAACAAGGTGAAATTTTTACATTACATTCAGTTTCTTTATACCTAAAAGTATTTTATTTACTTTTTAAATATATAAGTTCGAATATTTCACTTCGACATATTCGTTGCTCGTTATTACTGGTGAAAAATGGCGAATCTCTAAAATTATCCAGTCATCCGAACGGTTTCGTCCTAGCTCCCAGCTCGAACGAGATTCCAGAGCCAAGTGCTACTTTGTTCTCATTTCGTTCGACGATATAATTCAATTTCGTTAGTCGTTAAAACAGACACTTAATGAATTCGTGCACGCACACGCGACCGACTGAAAAGCGCATAACCGGCCTATTAAGACCCGATCCGTGAAAGTCGTTAATCCCAGCGCGCACATAATTCCCCTGTCACAATTTGCATTTCGACCGTGTGCTTCCTCAGGCACACGAGGGGAAATTAAAAACGTCCGATCGTAAAGCCTCGAAAAGAGGTAAAATATCACCGGTCCCGCGCACCCTGAATCGTAATCAACCGACGTTTTCTCTCTCCCCCCTGTTTCCCCCCGCTTTGGAGAAACTGCTCGTTCTCGCGTTCGACCTTTTTCGGTTATCGGTTTGAAAAGCCTCGGATCGGGTCGGCAAAGCTTTGGAAAACGGCCGTACTTACGTAAATGTGTGTACGTGGGTTCGATAACGTAGGAGAACGTTTTGGTCGCGTATTCGCGTGTCTCGGTGGGAACAGTTGGCATTGAGTCTCGAAATTAACACGTTCGAGACTAAAGACGCAACGTTGTCACTTGGATTTCATCCGGGGAAGATCGTTCTGTTAACTTGACGACATTGACTTTGAAACGCTATACAACTGATTTTAAAATAAACGTACATAGTGCGCGACGTTGTTCATCAAGTTCACCAGTAAAAATGCATCAGAATGGAAGTTGCACGTAAAATTGATACCATCTGTCACATTTATTTCTCACGTCATTTTTAAAGTACGTTACGCGTGTTCTTCGTTCATTGAAAACACGAATAAATTAAACCTTCGTGCCTGTTACACAGAAAATCGTCCACCTGTAACGTCCGCGGTCCAATTGACATTTCTTTACCGGAAGCCACGTTGAAATATGCTGATTTCCTTAACCTTAATGCGAGTTTGATTCCACTATAAATACACATAAGAATATCGTCGACTATCGGGCGTAGTATTTCCAAAATCTGTCTGGTCTCGAACGTGTTAAATATCCAACGTGGCAGCAGTTAATTTCACAAGGGTAATTTTGGTGTGAGAGAGAGCGAGAGAGAGAAAGAGAGAGAGAGAGAGAGATGGAGTCAGACGGAAAGTCGGTGCCATTCGGGTCGGGTGGTTACTAAATTAACGTTCTATAGAGGCCCGACGAGAGAGGAGGAGGTAGGCGCGAGGAGAGGCTCGACCAGCGGCCGCAAAATGCGAGACAAGACAAAGGAAAATAGGGCAAGTAATTTCAAACGAACGAAGCTATGTATGCACTTCACACAGCGAAGAGGACCAGGAGATTTTCACAGTTATTCGGACCAGAAGGTTTTCAATGGCGAATAATTCCGGCGATGATCTCTCCCTCTCCATTTCGCGTCACTGAATTTCACCGCGAGCGCTGGATATCGCCAATCTGTCGCTTTCAATACCACCCCCACGAATTCTCTCTCTCTCTCTCTTTAACATTTCCGCCGTGACATTATCTATTCATGAAATTTCATCGTTCGCCGCTAAATTGACAACTTGTATCAATTACATTTTACCAAATTAGCAACGAAATGTTCCTCCGACGTTCGGGCAGCGTTCGGAGCATGATTTCCAAACGGGACGAAAAATGACCGAAGGTTCGGTGGAACGAGCTCTGATTCTGACGTGACAGAGGTTACGAAGAAGACTGGAAGTCTTGGGACAATTTTTGTTTCGAATATACTTTATCCGCATGCATTTCGGAATGAATGTAATTAACTTTTCATTGCACTGACGATATAACCAGCAATCGCCAAAGACTATGTGATCGCACATGGTAACGTCGTCATTCGTTACTCTCTTGTTACCAGCTATATTCTTCACGAAATTTTCGTCTTCTCTAGTAACAAAAAAAAAAAAAAAAAAAAGAAAAGAAATAAAAAGAAAGAAAGAAACTCATACTGCGAGAGGGAAACAGCAAAGTGTAAACCACGATGATCGACTTAAACGTTCCGGCAACCGCGGTTCGCGGTCTCTCAGGTCTAATTACAGGAAAGAGATTCAGCGAGATTCGGTCCCCCTCGTTTCAACCCTGCGAAAACACGGCAGCGCGGTGAATTTCCTTGCCGAGACGAGAACGCGAAGAACGAAGAGTTAAGCGATCGTTTCTTCTCCACCGGCCGATCGCTCCGAACGAGAACACAGCGAGACAAGAAGGGTTGAAACCGTAAAAGATTTTTGTTTGGTGTTCGAGGAAAGCCACTCTCTCTCTCTCTTTCACCGACGAGTCCCCGTTCCACGTGCACACGTTCCTTTCGCCCTTTCCTTTTTTTCTTTTCTCTTTTTCTCTTTTTCCTCAGACAAAAGTTTTGCATGCCGGGCAAGCAAAGTAACAGGAAGGAGAAGGGCCGGATATTTTTGTCGTTTCAACGGGGAAAAAAATCGCGTATAAAAGACACGAAGGCACGAAAAAAAGGGAAAGAAAAAAAAAAAAAATGAAGGAAAGAAAGAAACTGCAAAGGGGGAGGAGGGGGTGGAACCACGTTCAGCGGCTGGAGAGGGGATGCTAGCCGACATAATGTACCGCGTAAGAGCCATTAGGTTATTAAAAAAACAGTGCTGGCTAAACGCGAGTAACGAACCGGCTGCTGGCCACCGAGGTATACGACAAAGGCGAAAAATTAGCCTTGATAACTTGCCTGCTTCGATGCGGAGAAGAGAGAAGAAGCCATGGGAGTTGGCGGCCGTTCTCTCTCGGTTCTCTCTCTCTCTCGAGCACCGGGGAGAAAAGACTGGCAGTTGGAGCAACGACAGCAGGACGGAACAAGGAGTAATCTCGACTACGTTCGCCCCGACGTAACGTTTCTCGTGGCGAGAATTGATTCTCCCGTAAAATGCTTTCGCTTTCATTTCGCCAGGCTTGTCGCCAGTCGTTTGCCAGTCCTTCTCCTCCTCCTCCTCTGTTTGCCGAGATCTCGTTTAGGCGGGTTTGAGAGGTTGTTTCAAGTCGCAGCTATTACTTTTCGCGTTAGAAGTATTGCGTCAAACCCTTCCGACCGAACCTTGGAACGTAATAATTTGCTCGTGGATTTGCTCGCGAATTTTGAAAATGTTTTTGTGATATACATTTCTCTTTCTGCGTGTACAGTATACGTTTTCTACGAAATTTTATGTTAGAAGTCTTGTCCTTCGAATAATACAGTATAATACACTTTTGCAATAACTTACGTATCTTTGAATTTTTCCATGAATGCATGAAAATCTGCTGTCTAATAATAATAATGATGATGTTATTCACTTCTGGGAAATTTAGAGATTAAGCGAAGTCATTATGATGACTGAGAAGTGAACTCGTTGTGATCGTTAAATGAAACATACTTCTTGCACAGCAAATTGTACACAAAAATTTGAGATACTCGAAATAATTAATTTACTTATTCGGGGTACAAAGGAAATCAATGTATCAAAAGGTGTTTAAAAAAATATAAATACGTCCTCAAATTGTCACACGATCTTCGTTAGACTTTTGATAACCCGAGAGGTTAGAAAACTAAAACTATCGCTTTCATTAGATCGAGTCTGACCTGGCTACCAGCCGTAGAAAATTATAAAATTATAAAACTTATTCGCTGTCCGAGAGAGTTAATTTTTAGAGTTAAAGTGGAAGTCTGAATATCTCGTATTTGGACGCAGAGGAAGAGAGAGAGAGAGAGAGAGAGAGAGAGAGAGAGAGAGAGAGAGAGAGAGAGAAAGAGAGAGATACAAGTTGGTAAAGATTTATCCGATGACGACATGATTACCTGGTGCTGTTTTTATCGCTGGGATCTTCGAACGAGCAACCTCGTTTCCAGATACGTAGAAATGCGTACGTCATCGGTGATAATGTTGGCAAAATCGATTTACGTCACGACGTGCCAGCCGAACTACATACGTTGACGTTTCGCATAACAAATTCCAGTTGCACGCCCGACTGTTTCGCCTCGAGCAATCGATACTTCGTTTCTATCGTGCTTCGATTCTTGCAGCTCGTTGCTTCTCTGGCTATCACTGTCAGCGTTTCACGCTGTTGCTCGCAAATAGACCGCGAATTTTTCTGCGAATTTACACACCGGAAAAATGTTCAATTTAAAAAGTGGAACCGAGGCGGAGTAATTAATATTATAACGTTTGCGTATCTTTCACTCGTACGTGCGTTATTCCTGCGTTTTCTTTTTTTTTTTTTTTTTCTGTTTTTGCTCCATATTATTTGAATTCCCCGCAATTTCACGCTTTAAAATCCGCTTTGCTCGCGATTGGACCGCAGATTTTTATGCAAATTCAATATACTTTGTATACATGTTTTTCCGTGCTCCGTGCATTTGCACTTTACGCGTATAAACGTAAATTACATTCGTGTAGTACGCTTATTTCGCGGTGCATGGAAACTTGATTCAAATGAATTCACGTGATGTAATTTATAATTTTTTAAAATCGCTTGAAAAGAAATTCACTAAATGAAAGGAGACATTTTTACCTACTGCTAAAAATCAACGAAAGCCCTCCGATACTTAGGATCTCGATATGTAACGAAGGAAATGCCGAAATACTTGCATTTATTTCCAGCGGCAAGAAATACCAC